TAGTTATCAAAAAAAAAAAAAGCTGATCATAATATATAAGTAATCTGTATACAATATGTATTCCTTGTGGCTGCAATTTGGATTGTGTCTGTGTGTCTATATATACGTATGTGTGTGGGTGTGTGTGTGTGTTAAAGCCCTACTCGGAATCCTGTTCCCGCTCATCGAATCCCGCCAGATCGACCGTCTGCAGCATGCCCCGCGAATAGGCGTACTCGATCAGCGCCAGGTGGCAGAACACATATTGATCCGGCATTTGTATGGAGTAGGCGCGCTGCGAGCGGATCTTCTCCACTGTGCCGCGTATGTCCGCCGTGCCCACATCCTCCAGACGTGATATGCAGATGTCCAGCGTAATGAAGGTGCCTGCGATTGAGGACAATGCGAATTAGCGAATGCAAATTGAATGTGATTTATCGATATAAATAATATCGGCTATGGCACTCACCGGTGCGTCCAATGCCAGCGCTGCAGTGCACCACAATGGGCGGGCCGCGCGGATGACCGGCCCAGGTATCGCCGAGGGCGCGCACCAGCTGCGCCTGCTTGTCCCGCACCTTCTGCAGGAAGTTCAGCATCGCCATCGCAGAGCTGGGCACACCATAGTCCGGCCAGCTGGTGAACTGCCAATGTGACACATTGCGAGTTTCGTCAGTCTAGACAGAGACAGAGACAGAGATAGAGACAGAGTGAGTGAGTGAGAGTAATGGGCTATCGACTTGACTTACCTTTAGGTTTCTCAATTCTAGGGATGCAACGGTATAGTCCTCATTGCTCTCGACGCTAATGGTTCGCACATGGTAATTGCCAAAGTCCAAGGAACTATCTTCAGTCGGCTCCCAGTATTGGCCGCACTTAACACGTCCGCGCTCCATCACGCGCGTTGTCATAACTATAACTAAGCAATGTTGTTCCCAGATCATGCGCCAAAAGTCCTGGGATGTCTTTGGTAATGGACCTACAAATGCGCAGCAAAACAATATATTAGTGCACTGTGCGTGGTTGTGGGTGTGGGTGTGGGTGTGGGCGTGGGTGTGGGATTATCTCTGCCCGGGAAGCCATAGCGGGCGCATCGATTCGTTACCTTGAGTTGAAATATAGGCATTCTTCTGCTTGTAGCCATCAACGAAATTGGCATTGATGTAATCGGAGAGGTCGTCCTCATCCTCGTGCGCCAGCACCACGCGACTGTGATCGTAGCAGAGGACGTCTGTGTAACGGTTTTTGGTCAGATTGTTGCGCATGCTGCAAATGAAGAAATGAATGAATTTGGATTCGAATTCGAATAAGGATTCGGTTTCGGAGACTTACCGCGCATGCAGGAAGGTGCCCTCGGGCGCCCGATTCCTTATTTCCGTATACTCCTTGATCAGGCCCTGGCGTCCTCGTTCCCGCACCATTTGCACGATCTGTTCGATCGTCTTCGGATCACCCTCCTGTCCGGCCAGGCTGTCATCGTCGCTGAAGCCGGATGAGGCGCTGCTCGGCGGATTTTCCGACCAGAATTCGCCGTTGCTGGCAACGCCAGCGGCGCTGCCATTGACAGCGCTGTCAGCTGCCGTTGCTGCTGCTGCTGCTGCTGCTGCCGTTGTTGTTGAGGTTCCTCCTGCTGCCGCTGCTGCTGCTGCTGCTGCTGCTGCTGTTGGAGCAATGTTACCTGCAGCAGTACCGTTACTCTGCTGAATGCCGCTGGTATTTAGCTTGAGCAGAGAGCCGGCCGCCGTCCGATGGCTGGGACTCAGTCCGTTGATTGTGATGTTCTCGTTGGGCTCCGATTCCTCGCTGCTGCCGCTGCCGGCGCCCGTTCTGCCGTGCTCCCCGCTGACGGTGACAACGGTTGTGTTGCTTTCGGCCAACTGGTGCACGGCGCTGATGATTGTGGCTGCTACGGCGCTGGCAGCGCTGCTGCCGTTCGTTAACGGCGACGCTGTGGCCGAAGCTGTTGCTGCTGCTGCTGTTGTTGCTGGTGCCACGCCCACGCCCACGCCGACAATATTGGCAAGCAGTTCGTCTTCACGATTCGTCATCGATTTGCGGCAATTCAGCAACCATGTGGCGTGATCGATTTCCAGCGTGCCGCCAAGATGCACAGGCAGCGCCTTGCGCGGCACGTGCAGGCTCAGCTGCGGCACCGATACAGTGAACACCCGCTCGCGCAGCTTCTCGCGCACAAACAGGCGAAGTATCTTGAATGGCGCCTTGAACCACAGCGGCGCCGTCACAATCAACACTTTCTTCAGCCGTGCCGGATAGCCGCCCTAAAGCGAGACAGATAGAGCGAGAGAGAGAGAGTGAGAGAGAGAAAGTGAGCAAAGACATTGCAAATAATTCCATTCCAAAAATATTGTTTTTTATTAACTTGCTAGAAGAGTTTTATTTCCAAATCTATATGTAACATATATAAGTTTATATATAATGTGTGTGTGTGTGCTTATTAAATTTGTATTGCCTCGGCACACAAAAAGGTCATTCTAGTCGACATTCGATTCGGCCCGCATACACCCGCATAAATAATGAATATACACTATATATATATATAGATATAGATATACATACATACATACATACATACGCATACATATATCAACAATTGCAACGTTTTCACTTGTATTTGATTAACTTTTACTTACTATAATTTTAGAATTTCTTCTCTGATTTTATTTATCGATTTTTGTATATCGATTTTTATTTAAAGTTGGAATAGAATTGAATCAAAGACATTCAAATGGGCATATAGCAGAGCTTACACGAAATTGAAACTTCTGTATTATATGAAGTGCTGGCTGACTGGAATCTACAGTTTTTGTCCATTAAGGATTTGCTTTTTTCCGTCTTTGGAGTTTGCTCTCTGATTTATGAGAGTTTTTTGAAAACGATATGATTAAAACTTCGTATATCAATGGGAAGTAGGAATGGCTTAGTTTACTAGGCTTGTTGAGATTACTTAAAACAAGTAAGAAGGCTCCAGTCGAGACTGCTCGACTACGAGTTTCCCTGAACCCTTCGATCAACTTATAATTTATCGCATACTTTCTGCATTTACGCACACACACATGCCTACCCATGCACGCATAAACACGCATGGGCTTACTATGGGCACTTAATTGCTTAATAACTCTTTCTGAGGATTGACTTTCTTCATGAAACTTTTAGATAGTCACAGTGACATTTAAGTGCGTCTAGTCTCTAGTACTTGAAATACGCCTTTTACAAATTTAGACTTGTAAAGATTTCATCTGATACCTTGATATGAATTATATGGAAATTGAAGCACCCTTGGAATAGTGTCAAAAATTAAAACTTGCATCAGATCTCTGGTAAAAAAATCTTCACATAGTTGAATATATTATTATTATTATTA